GGCATTTCCCAACTTTTGAGTGAGTTTGCAATCTTAACGTTGTTTGAATGTAGTGATGTTGGGTTTTTTGATGTAATATATGTACACACATACATGCACACTATAAGGAAGGAAAATATATTCTATCGAAAGCTGCTTGTATTATATATTGTAGTTATTTTATTGTATCTTTTCTCTACTATTGCAATAGGATGCTAAGGATGTAATCACACTTTTTACTCTCAGGCCCAAGAGCAGTGTGTTGTAATTACACTGACCTATAAGACTCAAGCCAGTAAACTAAATGCTAAAGAAAAATATTGAAATCCTTTTCAGGCTCTAAAATAATTTAAACTTGCAATATCCAAAGAGTTTGGTTGGAGGTAGCCAAGTTTATTTAAAGCTATTTAAAGAATTTTAAAGGTAACCCTGATTGTGCACTTCTGTTTCCTAACTTATGCTTAAAGATTTGTGGTTATTTTGTATATGTTTTATTATGTGGGTTATAAAGGTGAAAATGTTACTCTCTTGAAGTGAAGACTATTGATTACATCTGTGTGATACAGAGAGAGATGCAAACACTCTCTTCTACCCTCTGTAAACAGTTTCACAGTAATAGAGATTTTTATAACGTTATCTGAAAACAAAAAACAACAAAAAAGCATGAAGAGGCTTATGTAACAGGCTCAAAATACTTTTTAAACATTTCTTAAAAGCTGTTACTTGCATGTGATGTGCAGCATGCAGTGTACAGCAATATAAAGAACACAAATTAGAAATGATGCTTTGATTTTTGAAGAGGTTTTACTTTTCATCTTTTCACGACGCTGCACATTGTGACATGCTATTATGTGCAATAGCAATGCTTGAGTTTATTCTATAATATAGTGGACCCATTCCTCTGAACACTGAAGTTAATAGGAGTTTTACCATTGACTTCACTGTGAGCAGAATCAAACCCATTGCTGCTATTTTAGAAATTCTTGATAAATAAACATTTCCTGAAACTTGGAGATTCAACCAGTAATCATGGTGTCATAATAAAAAATGTTTTGTTTTGTCAGCTTTGGCCCAATGCTGGTGGCAGTATAATTTTGCATTATTTAACAATGCCATGGCACAGCTGTGCTGCACAAATAGTAAAACAAATTTGTGCCGCAAAAAATTTTCTTTTTTTAAAAAAATAATTTTAACTCAAAAGCTAATAAGGGTCTGGTTAGCCTAACCATATTGGTTGACTGACTGATTTCTAGTGAGTTTTACTTAAAGTTGCTAAAACTAGGAAGCACAGTTTAACAAAAATAAAGGAAAGGAAAGGGCTACACAATTGCCCTAAGTTCTCTAGAATTTAATAGAGATTAAACCAATGGACTTCTATAGAAATGACTCTATAAACCTACTGATTGAATTTAATAAAGACTATCATAACCTCTCTAAGTTTTTTTTAAATCTGTAGCAGGGATAAAGTTTCCTGTTAAATTCTATCCAACAGCTTAAGAGACCTATACAGAAGTTAACATTGTCTATTAAGTTCTAAGGGATTTTTTCATAAGGGTTGAGATTGCTTTCTGCGATGATAAATATTCATGTATGTTATTGCAGTTGGTAAATATCTATTTATCTCCACCTCTATGTTAAATAATAGATAAATACATCCTGGACCCCTGGACAAAACCTAAGTGAACAGGCCATGCACAGAGAATCTCTCCAGGGGTAGTTCAGTACAGAATCCTCTCTCAAGGTAAGGAACACCTGTTAGCTGCTGTTTGTCTGCTATGTGGAGACTTGCATGAGTGGACTGCGTAGTTCTGAGGGCACAACTCTTACCCCTGCCAGTCCCAATACCCCATTTTGGTACTGTGCAGAGAGCCACCAGAGGGTGCAGATTGCAGGGTGTAGAAGCACCCCCCCCCCAGTGCTGCATATGTGCAGCTGGTCCCCTCTGTGCTGCAGAATATTATCATGGTAGTTCTGCTACATTTAGGGCTGCAGTGAAGTGGGTGAGAAGACAGGAGCTGGCCCAGTGGAAAAAAAAGAGATGCACAGAGTGGAAACATCCAGCCTGAGGGCTTTGATTTGATATGACATTTATCTCCTCAAGTGAAGTTATCAGGTGTCTTTTTCATGAATGAAGATAAATGTTATAGGCTTAAGCCCTCATGTAAATAGGCATTGAGCAGCTTTGGGCTGCCTCCTCAGTGCGTTTACTCTAGGAGATCAGGAGGGAGTTTCATTGTGCAGTGTGGAATGTGAAACGGCAGAATCCTTTTGACTTTTAAATGATTTCAGCTACTAAGATATTTGTTTTTGACAGTAAGACAGTAAGTTCTACACAGAATAAAATGTAATCTTGTGTGTCTTTTTATACATGCATACAAATATAAATACATGTTTTTATGAGGTGAAATATTAGCTGAAAGGATGTAGACCCTTTCCTTTTCTTTCCCTGATATTGCTTGGCATTGAAGGCAGGCAGTTCCAGTACATCACAGGATAGGGCCCAGACGTCTTGGAGTTCTTCCACCTGCTGAAGGAAGAAAGGAAATCTTTAAAAAATATAAATATAATAAAATCTCTAGGGATTTTTTACTTTAGCTTTTGTGTTGTAAACAGGATTAAATTCTTGTTCTTACATTTGTAATTAAACTGAAGTTATTTAGAATATAAGAACGGCCATACTGGGTCAGACCAAAGGTCCATTTAGTCCAGCATCCTGTCTTCCGACAGTGGCCAATGCCAGGTGCTTCAGAGGGAATGAACAGAACAGGTAATCATCAAGTGATCCAACCCCTGTCGCCCTTTCCCTGCTTCTGGCAAACAGAGGCTATGGACAGGGCCGGCTCTGGCTTTCTGGCCGCCGCAAGCGAAAAAAAAAAAAAAACGCAGCGGGCCGAACAGCAAAGCAAAAAAAAAAAAAACCTGCGGCGCGGCCGGAGCCAGGGTGCAGGGGGACTCCCTGCCCTGCAGATGTGCCCCGGCTAGCAGGGGGAGTGGGAGGGAGCGGGGGGAGAGAGACAAGGGGGGCGGCCAGGGCTTCAGCGGGGAACTGCCACGCGGCCCCTCCCGCCGTGCCCCCTGCCGGGAGGGCTCCGAACCACTCCGCTCTGGGAGGGAAGGACACAGGCTGCCCTGCCGGGCTTCCGGCAGGGCGCTCCTGTCCTCCACGCCGCTGGCCCCTACAGGACGGCCAGAGCGGAACAACAACAACAAAAAAGCGACCGTGCAGCCCTAGGATTGGGCGGAATGCCACCTCCTACAAGCTGCCGTCCCAAGCACCAGCTTGCTCGGCTGGTGCCTGGAGCCGGCCCTGGCTATGGACACCATCCCTGTCCAGTTCAGAAGAAGGGTCAGGCCGCAGGTAGGAAGACAAGTCTGTTCTCCAGTGGTGGAAAACAAGGATAGCTCTCACCTTCCCTATAAGAGGTCTGTCAGTCTATCTGTTATGTTCTTTTACAGACCCTGTCTGTCTAGCCTTGGTTGAGTTTTTTTGGCCCCTTGACTAGTCAGCATATTATCTAAACATAGTGTCTGGTAAATGAGCAAGAGATCATAGGGAGAACTATTCTTTGTGGGAGACTTGTACCACATTGCATTGGCCTGCTAAACCCAAGATTGTTTGATATTGGTATTTCCAACTGGGGGTGAAGGGAAGCTGCACTTGTTGAAGGATTCTGCAGCATTAGGCAGTGAATGAAGATGAGCTTGAGGATTATCAGAAACCTGAAGATGCTGGTTGCTGTAATTCATTGGGAATCATGTTCCTGCAGCAACTTAACAGGTAGGCAAAGTGGTGCAGAAGAAGGGGTCTCTGACAAGATAGAGAGTGATATATATGCCTGCTGTTCCAATGTGCAACCCAAAATATAATGTAAATGGCTAGAACAGAGTCATGTGATGATGTTCAAATATCTGTAAGCCAGTCATTAGTTTCTAGCACTAGAAAACCAGTTATAATGGCAGTGGAGCTGAACTATTTTTAGTTACATGTCAAACCTTCCTTGGTCAATGAGAAGATGCATGGCCATGAAGCAATGTAATAAATCACATAATACCTAGAGCTGCGCAGAGAAAGGTATTTCCGTTTCATAGAGGATTTTGATATTTTGAAATTTTGGCTTTGTTTCAATTCAGAGCAAAACCCCAGAATTTCAAAATGCTCTGCAACAAGGGAATGGAGCCACAGAACCCAGAGAGGTCTGCCTGGCAGAATACACCAGAGCTGTGGACCCTGGAAGCCAGGACTCCCCAGTGAGTGAGGTGAGCTAGTAGGAAACCAGGCAGAAACCCTCCATCAGAACCATCTTGGCAGACTATTTTGATTTTAGATGAATTGGCAAATTCTCACAAAAATGTTTCACTGGAATTTTTCTGACTATCTCTGAAAATACTTTTGGTATTCCCAACTATTTAAATTGAGGCATTGTTCCTACTACCACCAGAAAAAAGAGCTTCCCTTCTCAGTGAGCAACATTACTGCACTTGTCATTATATTCTGATGTGTATATGAGAGTGTAGAAAGGGAAGTATATAGTCACATAAGAAAAACACTGTGTGAATATGCAGTGTGTTGCAAGATTCCATTTATTTTTCTTTTCTAGCTCCAGGAATGGGGAGACCTGTCTAAAGAGGATCCTACTCGAAAATTTGTATTCTACAAGCTCATTCTCATAAAGACTTTGGTTTCACAGCTGCATCCGTTTCAGAATGGCAGAGAAGGCTCCACCAGCGATGACCAGGAAGTCTTCAAGGTCCACCCTTTCCCTCCCACCAGAACCAGTGGAGATCATTAGGAGCAAAACTTGTTCAAGGAGAGTTAAAATAAATGTAGGTGGGCTCAATCATGAAGTTCTATGGAGGACTTTGGACAGACTCCCAAGGACTCGATTAGGAAAGCTCAGAGACTGCAATACCCATGATTCTCTGCTGGAAGTGTGTGATGACTATAACCTGAATGAGAATGAATATTTCTTTGATAGACACCCAGGGGCTTTCACCTCCATTTTGAATTTCTACAGGACAGGGAAGCTACACATGATGGAAGAAATGTGTGCTCTCTCTTTTGGCCAAGAGCTTGATTTCTGGGGGATTGATGAAATATATTTGGAATCTTGCTGCCAGGCAAGGTATCATCAGAAGAAAGAACAAATGAATGAGGAATTGAGGAGAGAGGCAGAAACAATGCGTGAGAGAGAAGGGGAAGAGTTTGATAATACTTGTTGCCCAGAGAAAAGGAAGAAACTCTGGGACTTGCTAGAGAAACCCAACTCATCCGTGGCTGCAAAGGTAGGGTAAATGACATGCTTAATACCAAAGCACTAGAAAATTAAAAGTACATGACCTGTTTATCTGAAATGCATCAATGACTTTCACTCAAAATGTTTAATATAGAGAAAAACAAGGGTACATGTGATCATGTGAATACACCTGATTAAATGTCTGCTCCAAAGCCCATTGAAATCAATGGAAAACCTCCCATTGACTTCAGTAAGCTTTGAATCAGGCTGAAACACTATAAATATAAACTATAAACCTTCAGAGTTGTTGTATATAAACACAAACACACACACGTAATGGTATACTGCATGTATGTCTAATCTTTCCCGAGTATAAGTATGAAACACTAGTAGCTTCCTTGCTTATAAAATCATTTTATTTGATTATAAAGAAATATTTTCTACAACTTCAGAGTGTTCATACTGTTTCCATTAGGGGCATTGTATAGGTTTAAAATGGCTGTCTCTCAATTCATTAATTAAGGACATCTAATAAGTGGCATCAGCTTGACGGTCAGGAGAGTGGTACCAGCAACCAGCGGGTTGCTTTGTATCTGGCAAATATCACAGTGATATTATCTCTGATAAAAAACCTTTGAAACCCAGAATGAGCTCTGTATGAATATATAGAATATGCAGAGATAAGGAATCAGATTGTTTCATTAGACTATGTCCCAATCCTCCTGGCTTTATGCAGGCAAAGTAGGCAAATGTACTCCTGATATCAAGGGGAAGTTTACCTTTGTTAAGAAGGCAGGATTGGACTGGAAGGGCCAGATTCTGGTACTGTTACTTACAATAGAAAGCACTTGAGGAGTCCCATTGACTTCAGTGGGACTATTCATGGCATAAGGTACTACTCAATATGAGCAAGACCATCAAAATCTGGCCCTAAATTAATAGCACTTAAACTATACACAAAGGCTTAGTATACACGCATTGCTTAACTCTGGCTATGCTTTGCCCTCTCACTTGTGGGGTACTAGGGTGTCAGTCCTATATTAATAACTTTAAAATATGAAAGTTTATACAAATTTAAAGCATGGCAACATTTCCATGAATTGGTTAATAATTATTTCGTAATAGTTAGACATTTTAAAAAGCATATTATTTCTTGTTTTAATTTTTCACCATGGGCTGTATAATTGGATTGAGACTGGACAAAATTTTCTTTAAAGAGTCAAGGCCTGGTGTATAAAGATTTGTAACTAGAGTAAACAGCTGACAGTGAAAAACGAGGGTGTTCTAAAGAATGTTTTAGAAAATACATGCAAATGGGTTTTCTACTTCTGAGATTAGAGTATTCTGGGCCATATGTTCCTCTCCATTAGGAGGAGCAGAGGGAAGCAGATGGGCATAAGCTGTACCAAAAAAGTCTTGAGGAAGCCATGTTACACAGTTTGATCCAGTGGCATGGTATAGCGGTCATCAGGCTTCCTGCTGCACTTCTGTGATATAGCTGCTATGCAGCCTGCTGGAGAGGACTGAGTCAGTCCCTCAATGCTGCATATTTTCTTTGCAGTGCGGTTAAGTAAGCATGACCTTCCCCTAACCACCAGAAAAATGAGTGCTCTTGTAGAGGGGAGAGAGAATGGCAGCACAGCAACAGAGCCAGCATTGCTGCCAGTGGTAGGGAGTGAGAGAGAGAGCCAAAGCCCCATAGAACCATATTAGATACGCACATGATGATGGAGGCTGTTGGGTTTGAACTCAGAGATCATTGGCTTACCTGTAGCTTCCTGGCTATGCCTGCTGCCAGAATAATTTATACTGCTACCTTATGCTTCCCAACAGCTGGACAGTTTTGAGAGGGGAAACGGCATGGATGTTTTCTTGTAGGTTCTGCTCTGTGTTTTCTCATGTCAGAGAGGCAGCTATGGCCCATAGTACTTAATATCCATGAGTCATGCTTCTGCCAGAATATACTGTAAACTAGAAAGCAAGACAATAATGCTGAGCAGATATGGCAAAAGTGAAACCCCAGGTCCTTTCTTTAGTCTATTAGAATGTGTTTTGTTTGGTTTTGCTTTTGATCGTTCTTTTACTTGGTGGTTAATTGTGTGTACATAGAGGGTGTGGGATTTTCATCAATACTCAACATTAGTCTAATTCTGCTCCCATTGAATTCAATAGCAAAACCCTCATTGACCTACATGAGTGGGAACAGCATTAGGCAAACGCTGAGCACTTCTGAAAACCCTGAACAAAGTGTTTATTACAGCATATTTTACCACTGGTTTGGCCTATTTTGAAGGGCCTGGCAATATATTTGATTTAGGTAAAAAGTGGTACCCACAGTATTAATACCCTGTACAGGCAAGTTTTGAAAATCAAGGTGATTTATTGTTTTTATCTAGTAGGGCTCATATTTGTTTATTTTGCACCTCTTGATTTCCCCCCTCATCTGGCTGAACATGACTCACAGAACATATAGTTTTATTCTATATGGTTGCAATGAAATGTATAATGTGCTTGTGTGTATGCTGCTATGTGAAGCCGATTTGCCTAATTTAAATTGCCTTCTATATGACTTATTGCCCATTTTGTGTGATTCTTGGTTGGTAACTTGAACTAAAGCATATTATACAGTTGGAGTTGCCTTTCAGCTGTCCTCGGCTAGTGAATACATTATATGTAAATATTCAGTGGGTCAAAATCTGATCAATTACTCCCATGGAAGTTGTGGCTGAATAATGTAAATGAGAGCAGAAATTGTCCCAATGGGCCTAGGACAGGGGTTCCAAACTTGGTTCGCGACTTGTTCAGGGTAAGCCTCTGGCGGGCCGCGAGACGCTTTATTTACCTGAGCATCTGCAGGTACGGTGCGGGCTGGGCCACTGCTTCACGCAGCTCCCATTGGCCAGGAACAGCGAACCGCAGCCACTGGGAGCTGCGAGCGGTTTTACCTGTGGACGTTCAGATAAACAAAGCATCTCGCGGCCCGCCAGGGGCTTACCCTGAACAAGCCGCGAACCAAGTTTGGGAACTCCTGGCCTAGTCTAATGGAGAAGGTTCAGAGAAGAGCCACGAGAATGATGGCTTATAGCAGAGGTTCTCAAACTTGGGGTCAGGACCCCTCAGGGTGTTGCGAGGTTCTTACATGGAGGGGCCGTGAGCTGTCAGCCTCCATCCCAAACCCCGCTTTGACTCCAGCATTTATAATGGTGTTAAATATATTTAAAAGTGTTTTTAATTTATAAGGGGAGGGGTTTCGCACTCAGAAGCTTGCTATGTGAAAGGGGTCACCAGTGCAAAAGTTTGAGAACCACTGGCTTATAGTAATAGACTCAAGGAACTCAATGTATTTGGCTTAACAAAGAGAAGGTTAATGCGTGACTTGGTTAGATTCCATAAATAGCTACATATTTGATCATGGGCTCTTCAGTCTAACAGAGAAAGGTATAACACGATCCAGTGGCTGGAAGTTGAAGCTAGACAAATTCAGACTGAAAATACGGCATACATTTTTAACAGTGAGGGTAATTAACTATTGGAACGATTTACCAAGGGTTGTGGTGGATTCTCCATTACTGACAGTTTTTAAATCAAGATTATCCTATCGAGGTTGGGGAATCTCCATCTTTAAAGGTTTTTAAGAACAGGTTAGACAAACACCTGGTCTAGATAATACTTAGTCCTCACGGCAGGGGACTGGATTAGATGACTTATTGAGATCCCTTCCAGTCCTACATTTCTATGATTCTATGATTCATTTCTATGACTGCATGTTTTTCTAAAAGATCTGCTCTAGGAATTATTTGGGGGAGTTGTCTTGCCTGTGTTATAGAGGAGGTCAACAAGATGATCAAAATGGTCCCTTCTGGCCTTGGAATCTATGAAACATTAGAAAATGAAGAACTAGCCTCATATAAACCAAGATATACTGAAATTGGTATACATTATGTGCTTTAATACAATATGCTGTTGATTGGATAGCATATTAGGATATATGGCATGATCCTCATCTAAGGTAAAAAATTCAAATTTCAGCACTTTGTTTTAATGGGCAGCAGGTTTAAAACAAATAAAAGGAAGTTCTTCTGCACAAGGAGGTTGTGAAGGATAGGACTATAACAGGGTTTAAAAGAGAACTAGTTAAATTCATGGAGGTTAAGTCCATTAATAGCTATTAGCCAGGATGGGTAAGGAATGGTGTCCCTAGCCTCTGTTTGTCAGAGGGTGGAGATGGATGGCAGGAGAGAGATCACTTGATCATTACCTGTTAGAGTCACTCCCTCTGGGGCACCTGGAATATGGCCACTGTTGGTAGACTGGATACTGGGCTGGATGGACCTTTGGTCTGACCCAGTATGGCCGTTCTTATGTTCTTACGTTCTTACGTTTAAAGTGTAATTACATATTCACGCAGCAAATTATTAATTTATCCTGAAACAAGGGGCAAGAAGCTGTACTGGATAAACTCATTCCCTCTGTAGAAGGAAAATAGAAAAATTATTGTCTTTGTTGATCCAGTATCACTACAACAGCATGTTGCATCGCTATCTAGTTATATGTTTAGGATCCAAGCCCCCAGACTGGACATGTCATTGAGATGACTTGCTGAATTCCCAGGGAAAAGGGGATAGTTCAACCATGCCTAGGACACTGTCTGCCAGCCAGTCAGAACACATTGGTGTCAGCTTGGCAAAGGACAGCTTGTCTGTCTTCTTGTTCAGAGGTGAAGTTTCTCTTTGTAAGGGAAACAATTAAGGGATTTTTAGAATGGAAAATCAAGAACAACATATGGAAATATCATTCAGCATAAACCTAAAACATATTGTTACTTTGCTATCTTTCAAAGAAATATGAAAAAGAATATCATATTCATTTAATCTACCAATATCTGCATCCTCATTCAGATATTTCATTGCACCTTAGCAGTTGACATGAACAGATTGTTGTTGAATCTATTTCTTACACAGTGTGGGATAAACACTGAGGACTCAGTTTGGCTTTTTGGGTGTTTTTTGCCAGTTATCAAACATAATAAAATCCCTATGGGTCTGATCC